TCACTATCGCCCGTTGCGGAAGACTGGGGCCAAGGGAAAGCACTTCTTATTGGCTTGAATGACCATAGAAGCACAACCCATTTATCTATCGCTTGATTTGTAACTGTGGGAGTCCTTATCCGCTAGAACCTACATCAGAGCTAGCATCGATTGGTGCATGCTTGTCGATCGGCTCCAGCATACCGTCAGAGAACCCATCCGACGTGAAGTGCCACGACGAGAAAACCTTCACAGGCAAGAATTGTGGCCTAGAATGCTCGAAAACCCGCAGCCCCAGTCGTCTTCCGCAAGCTTTGCTGAAATTAGTGAACGGTTATCTCTCCATGCCCACGCAACTTCATCAGCCGTCGCGGTCATGTATGGATCGCATGCACCAAGTTGGCCCGGATTGTGGGTAGCGAACACATGTATCAGCTTAAGTGGCTCGGGAACTTGAGGTTGGGATCACCCACCATGGGTCGGATTGCTATGAGTATACAATGTGATCGAATTGCATAAACTTAACGTGGAATTCCAACTACACAGTGTCTCCATCCCGATACCATGAACTCAGCTATCACGTCGTGAACCAGTAGAGAGCCGTGACTCTCCCAATCCTAAGGTCACTTCCAGGTTCTACTATCCAACTCTGATCTCTGCGCCCCTGGAGGTTGACCCAAGTACCGGGAATCCAGAGTAATCGAGTTCACCTTCCCATTGCAGATTAAATACCGAGCTCTGTGGGTCGAGACTGGCGACATATCGGTTCCGGCTCCCAGGTTTCCCTAAATGAGTTTTCAAATGGGCGCGAAGGTTGTCCTTGCGCGTGAAAGGCCTCTTGCAACCTGACACCCAGCATCTGTACCACCGCGTCTTCCACCGTTATAAAATTTTGCAACTTTCGGGCCTTTCGATTCGTCTCATCGGCCTCGGTGTTACGTACTGGGCAGTTGGCGGGCACGCGAGTGCCGCGGCGCTGGTAATGTCACAAATCCTTGGTGGTGCCGGCGGTGCATTTTCCGTCGTTGGGACTCGTGTTGCTTCCCAGGCGTCCGTGCCCCATCAAGATCTTGCTAGCATCATCTCGCAGTTGTCTTTGTGGTCCAAACTCGGCTCTTCCGTCGGCTCGGCAGTCGCTTCGAGTATGTATACCCAAACGTATATGAACAATCTGCTGGCGGAAGGCTTGACCCGCGAACAAGCTGCCGTGTTCTACGGAAGTGGAACGAAAGCGCGCACACGATTTGCTTGGAAGACTGAGGAGCGCGAGGCAGGCATCCGCGCCTTCACCAAGACTATGCGGCCCGTGTTTCTCACTGGTCTATGCATCTCATTTATTCCTCTCCTCGCAGGTCTGATGATGCCCAACTACTATCTTGGAAAGACACAGAACATGGTCGACGGCACCACCAATGGCGGCGTTGTTATCGAAGAGTCTTGGGCGCCGAGTACTGGCGAATTGAAGGGTTCGGGACGTCGACCTCGATCATGGCTGAGCAAGTTGTGGAAAGGTGTGCAAAGCTAAAGTAGGATGTATGTAGCTCCCCTGGCCGGCCCAGATCGGTTTCAGTACTCGGTGCTCCAAAATGGCCACCTTCGCTAAATGCCTAGTTGGTCCCGGAACGCTAGTTGAACCGCTGTGTTATAAGTCGGCCTGCGTGCAGACCGCATACAAAGCTGTGACAGCAACCTATAAATTATGAACGACAGGTCGAGCGAGCGACCTATGAATGACTAACCAGATATCACATAATCCAGATTGGCGAAATCAGTGAGAATCATAGTGAATCACACTAAGAGACACCAATCATAATAATAAATATATATAAAATTATTTTATAGCTTTACTATGTAGCTAATTTCGTTTATACCTTTTAAATATGATTATCTCACTATTAATATATTAACTCGCTCTATACTATATTGCTCTAACCTATCACCCTGCATGTTCTATGCCTTCTACGAAGCCTGGGCGGTGTGTCCTGAAGGTTCTAATGTTCTAGAGTAACAAGCCCCGGACAGACTCGAGCCTGGAACGGCATACCCAGCGCCTATGCCGTTTCAGGGCCTCTCTGTCTCCAGGTGTCTGGTCCGAAAGTTCTTGAATGGGTCTTGGTCTTCTGAAAAGACTCACCCTCTGGTGTATCTAAAGTATTGCCCGGGCCATGCTCCCGTCTACAGCACAAACAATCAACCCAGGTACCTTCACGTCGGACTCATCTCAATAGATTCGTACCGAAAAATCCTCTTGTTCCCCAAGCTCCCTTTCGGCTCAGTATACTGTTACGCGGAAGAATGTTAGTTTCGAAACCGACCGTTGAAGAGGTAGTGACCAGAACGGCCTCAGGGTTGAGAGTTCACGACCTCGACGAGTGAAAATTTCAGGAATGTCGTAGTAAGAGGTATGCTGTAGTGACTACTCCCAGCTATATAATTGCGACTCTGGAATACCACAATCATCTGCCGAACGATCGGTTGTTTGCACCAGTCTGTTGGCGATTGAGGCGGTGCTAACTCTCTAGGGCACAGTTCCGACTGCTATGCTATCTATACACGTCTGCAACTCCCCCAGGACGAATCTTTCCTGGGTAAACCTTTGGATCGGCTATTCACATGGGTCTACCGCTCAATAGGTCATGTTGATCATGATGGTCTTTGGCTCGGTAAACGCCTGCAACGCTGCCCGTCCACACTCGCGCCCCAGGCCACTCTGCTTGCTGCCTCCAAACGGCGCGTTGAGGAACGTCAAGCTCACACAGTTGACGCCGACCATGCCCGAGTCGAAATCACTGGCAACCCGGAGAGCTTTGTTGATGTCTTGGGTGAAGACGCCCGCCATGAGACCATATTCGACGTCGTTCGCCTTCTGGAGGACCTCTTCTTCGGTCTTGAACGAGTTGAGCACCGACACTGGGCCGAAAATCTCTTGCGTGTAGATTTCGGCATCGCGAGCCACGTTTGTGAAGACGGTCGGTTCGACGAAGAAACCTTTGCCCTCCTTCTTCTGGCCACCGACCAAGAGCTGACCTTGGTGAGCACCGCGCTCGATGAATCCATTCACACGATCAAATTGGATCTTGTCGACAACAGGGCCCATGACCGTTCCGTCCAAATCTGGATTCCCCATCGTCTTCGATCTGTCCTGTAGTGCTTCCTTGTACTTTTGTGCGAACTTGTCGAAGATCCCTTCCTGGACATATACTCGCGTCGCGGCAAAGCAAACCTACAGTCAGGGGTTAGCGAAGATTGGGTGCCATCAGGGGACGATAATCACACCTGTCCAGTGTTTGCGGCGAGCGCATTGACACACCACGTAACTGCATTGTCGAGATCGCAATCATCGAAAACAACTGCTGGGGACTTTCCGCCCAGCTCCAGGGTCACTCTCTTCAGGTTTGAGGTGGCCGCCATGGCTTGGATCTTCTTGCCTGTGGGTATTGAGCCCGTAAAGCTCACTTTGCGAATGCGCATGTGGCTGGCGATGAGGGCTCCCGTACTGCCATCCCCGGAAAGGACCTGAAAGACACCCGGGGGAAAACCAGCTTGTTCAATCAATGGACCGAGAGCCAGTGCTGCAAACGGCGTCTTTTCTGAAGGCTTGAGGATGAAACAGTTGCCCGTTGCGAGGGCCGGAGCAGCCTTGAGACCAACCGTGCCGAGAGGGCCATTCCAAGGGACGATGCCAGCCGTGACTCCGATTGGCTCATTTCGAGTGATTTGCATGAAGCCGTTCTCTTGGGGAAAAGCCTCTCCCGCGAACTTGTCGATCCAGCCGGCGTTGTACCTAAATGCTTCGGCCGCCAGACCAATTTCAACCTTCCCAAACGAGCCAAACGGGGCGCCCAGCGTGATACGCGTCAACTCGGCCAGTGGCTTCATATGCAGCTCCAGGAGGTCGGCAAACCTATTCAGAATGTTGCGTCGTTCGGTGGCCGTCACTTTCTTCCAGGCCGGGAAGGCTGCCTCGGCGGCGGCGACGGCAGCGTCGACATCACGTTCGTCGGCGAGGGAGACTTGATCCGAGACCAACGTTCCATCTTTGGGGTTGTAGACTGACAATGTCTTCCCACCCCTGGAACTCTTGTATTCATTGTTGATGTAGAGTTGTGTGGGCAGCTTCCCAACGGAGTAGGGGAACGATGTGCTGTGGGAGGTGTGGACGCCCATCTTGCTCAGTGCTCACACGTTGTCTTGAACTGCGAACTGCGATTCCACTGCCTTATCAGGTATCAAGTATCAAGGTACTTGTTTGCGAGGGACCAAGCGACGAGTAAAGTGCTAGTCAGGTAGACAACGACCTGATCTTCAGCCCACGGCTATCGTCTACTATTGGTACTTGAGTCAATTCCTCCTGATACTTGAATAATTTTAGACACATAGGATCGTAGGTCTTATCTTATCAGGACGATTTGTACTCTACAAGGACAGTTCCGAATTCCAGGTTAATGGCCTGTTCCGCGGCTATGAGCCCAGGCCCCTGACAATCGATATGGCCGCGGCTATTGGAAGTCCGGTACTCAGTCCGGCCTTGTAGCCCCAGCTTATTCCTCTGTCTAGTCCCCACATCTCGGTGACCGCCCGCATCTGCGGGGTGCATTGGGCAGGTATTGGACCTGGGGAGATTCCCAGCACCCCCTAGTCTGCCGCCGTGGATCTTGGTTTCGTCGTTGCAAGCGGGAGAGGTTTTCGTTAAGCGAGGCTGTGCCACTCGCCTCCTTCGTCGTATCTATGGGGATAAAAGCCCGGCCTTCCCTGCTCACGCATACCTGTAGGCTGACAATCTCGCCTTCGACAGTACATAGAACTTGAACTCGATTTGTCTGCTTGACATTGGCACCATGTCGTCCGAGAAGGCAAGCGTCGGTGGGACGTCCACGCACGTCGCCGACGACAATCGCCTCCAACCCATCGAGACCACCGACGATGTGGCTCCAGAAATCATCGGTATGAACATGCTCGCCCTCGCCCTCGCCCTCGAGACATACTATACATGATACTGACACCTGAGACAAGGCGGCCAGATGGCCAACCTCCCACCGGGGTACTACACCAGCGCCAACTTCATCGGCACCGTGCTTGCCTACAGTCTGGCCAACATGTCCAATTACGCCGGCTACATCATGACTTTCAACCTCCTCTCCATCATCAACCAGGACCTGGGCCCGGACCCCAACTACGTGTGGATCGCCACGGGCTACACATTGGCGGGGACCACCGGTGCCATGCTCTGGGGCCGATTGAGCGACGTGTTCGGCCGGCGGTGGTTTTTCATCGGCGGCAACTGCTCCGCCCTGCTGGGGAGCATCTTGGGGGCCGCGGCGCCCAACATTGTGACCTTGATCTTTGCTCAAGTCTTCATCGGCCTGGCCTTGCCCTCGCAGCTGAGCTTTTCCATCGGACTGGCGGAGCTGATCCCCAACAAGTGGCGTGGGTACAACAACGCACTCTTGTTCTTCATGGCGGTGCCGTTCTCGACTTTTGGGCCCATCATTGCCCGCAACTTCCTTCTCAACACCAGTAAGACCTGGCGGTGGTCCTACTACGTCAACCTCATCATCAGTGGCCTGGCCATCGTTTTGGCCGTCGCCTTCTACCACCCTCCCATTTTCGAGCAGCTGCACACCAGGGCCTCGAAGCGAAAGGTGATGAAGGAGCTGGACTACCTGGGGCTCCTGCTTTTCGTGGCCGGGCTGGTTTTGTTCCTCCTGGGTGAGTATCCTTCCCAGCATCTGCTCATAGCAGTCCCAATGCTAATCCCCGTGTCTGCAGGACTCAGCTGGGGCGGGCAGATCTACCCGTGGGCCAGTGCTCACACTCTTGCAACGCTGCTGATCGGCGTGGTGCTGCTCGTAGCCTTTTTCGCCTGGGGTGAGTTCTTCTTCTGGCGCAAGAAGGCGATTGGAGAGCTGACGCGCTTTTCTGTACAGAGCTCTACGGCGCCAAACAACCTTTGTTGCCCGCACATTTTCTCAAGAACTTGCCGTTTGGTGGCATCGTGATGGCTGCGGGTTCCGCGTCCGCCGTCTTCTACCCGTTGAACGTCTTCTGGCCGCAGCAGATTGAGACCCTCTGGGCCACAGAACCCCTCCGCATCGGCTGGCTCTCGTGCATATTGGGGGGAGGCACCCTGGCCGGCCAGGTCTTTGCTGGTTTGCTCGTCAGTCACGGGAGGGCGAAGTGGCAATTCGTCACGGCGACGACGACAATGACGGCTTTCATCGGTGGTACGTTAGACCGCTGATTTACTCATTTCAACTGCTGATTGCTTCCCAGGCATGGCTGCCACCAATCGAAACACTCTGGTCACCGCCGAAGCCTTGTGCTTCTTGGGTAGTTTCTCCTTGGGCTACGTGGAGAACGTGGCCAACACACTGGCGCCCTTCACACAACTTGAGAAGGACATCGGCGCAGCAGTCGGGGTTCTGATCTCTGGCCGTACAGCCATCGCCACCATCGCCCTCGCCATCTACAGCACGGTCCAGAACAACAAGCTCGCACACTTCATCACCACAACGGTCGTGCCGGCTGCCGAGAAAGCTGGCATCGCGGCAGATCAGATTCCGGCGCTGCTGGATGGTTTCACCACTGGCTCGTTCGCCGGCGTACGTGGTTTGACGCCCGCCATCCTAGAAACGGTGACCATCGCCTACCAGACGGCGTTTTCCAAGGCGGTGCAGATTGTGTATCTCATCAGCGTCGCCTTTGGCGTCCTGGCGATCGGAGGGGCACTGCTGTCGCCCAATCCAGACTCGAAATTCAACACGGACGTGTCGAGGAGAATGCACGGCAAGGAGAACATCGC